CACACACACACACACACACACACTTTTCCTCCCATAATGCAAACTATCCTCGGACAGTAATCTGGACTTCTAGGTGGGAGGAAATCATGGAAGCGTGGTTTCTGTCGGTGGTGGTGCTGCTGGGTCTGCCGCGGCCCCTCGGGGCAGGGACCCCCGCTCACAACAGCACGTATTCGGCAACCGACGGGTATCCGTACTCCGAGGCCACGGCTGAGTTCAGATCAACAGAAAACGGCGCATCTTCATCTTCATCGTCATCCTCCAGCGAGAGTTTGTCCCCATCCCAGAGGAACGTGCTGCTCACGCGCACGGCTGAAACGCGCGCTGCTTCCTCCGGTAAGTCGGTCCAAACTCTTTATTCCGCGTTGTTCGCTCAGAATTACCTCGAGCATCGATTAAATAACAACCCTGAAGCCGCTCCTCGAATAGAACAAGAAAAAAAAAAACTTTTTTTTTAGTTTCTGAGACGTATTCATTCATTAATTGAACTCATTTACATAGAGTGGGGAAAATTCCCACTGCGTTTGAACTAACCCCCAAGACGCCTTCAGTTTCCTTGCTTTGTTCAGACTGAAACTCCCAACTCACTTTATTGTTTTCACTTTTCAAACAAAACAACAATAAATCACATGACAATAGAGATCTGACTGCTCCATTTAATACAAAGTAAATCACGCCTTATCAGACAGGAGTTATCAACAAATAAATTTGTTGTCAAGCTGTGAAAGGTTTTTAAATTTCAGATATAAATAACAGATTCTTATAGAGGTCTACAGTGTGTAGTCAATGATGAGTATATAAAACGGTTCAACAGGTGTATTAAAATGTCTCAAGAAAATCCTGAGATTCCCACTGATGACATCATCTGCAAAGTTGGAGCAGCATCCTCAAATGACCCGAACTGATGCAGAGAATAAGTCATCACCTCTGAAAGACTCAAAAACTGCATTCAGTGTTTCATAATGATTATTGCCTGCACCCAAAAGGCAGAGACAAGATTTTTTTAAATTATTATTATTATTATTATTATTATTATTATTATTATTATTATTYTTATTATTATTATTATTGCCATGTCTATGTTTGTGTCTGTTAGCAAAATATCTCATGAACCACTGGACAGATTTTAATGAAGCTTGCAGGACATCAGGGGTGTCACTAGGTTTTAAGGACAAAGGGGACTTCGCCCCCAGGAGACACACAGTAGGGGTGCAACAATACATGTAACCGTATCAAACAGTGCTGTATCGACCAATACAGATTTAAAAAATTTACTTTATCAACATGTCTTCTGAAGATGCTCTGTGTTAAAGGATCAGTGGATCTGTGTTCGACTACTCCACCTAGGCTGCATTTTTGAGTGCAGGTCCACTGAGAAACTTGCTGTTTCAGGAACATTTAATTAAAAAAACTGTTCTTTTGAGGTTGAACAAATGTTCACAATTAATATAAATAAATTACAAGTTAAAAGGGGCATGGAAATTTCTCTTTTTTGTAGGGATGTCCTGATACAACRTTTTCACTTCCGATACGATACCGATATTACAACTTTGAGAATTGTCTGATACCGATATTGACCGAAACCAATATTGACCCATTACCATAACAGTACAAGTCACACACTTTTACCTATTTTGTAATGTAAAATTTTAGTAAAGTCTTGATCAGGTCAAACAGTGAAAAAGAGTAGAGAGTAGGTATGAGAAAAACTGACCCATTTATTTTTAACCAATGGATCACATACATTTTAAACTGAAGAACATTCTACAATTTAATAAAATAAATTATAATACCCTGAAAAATAAAACAATAAAAACAAAATGGTCTTTTAAAGTATAAAATAACAATTCAAAATCACTTTGGTTATTGTTCTACTACCTGTCAGCCTGGTGCTGCTTTATGGTGGAAAAAACTGAAGGTGGAGACAAAACAAAACCCCACATTATTGTCTGTTCAAAGTTAAGAGTCCACAGCTCCAATTTTACTGACTGTAACTAAAACAACATGATCATTGCACTTAATCTTCACTCAAACAAGTGTGTAAACAGATTAAACATCACTCTAATAACGAGCAAAAAATAAATAGTAAGAATTAGTCAGTTATTTAAATTGATAGCTACCTTTCTTAGTGCTAAATTTCCACTTTCTACAGTCTGAGTATCATGTGGAGATCAGCCTCTCGCTCCTGCAGGGAGCAGTTTTTATCACTGCTCTCGTCATGTCACGCTCATATTCCAAAACAAAAGCTGCGCTCTCCTTTCTTCTGTCCATCAATCCCAGAGCTAATCCACGGGATGTCAAAACTGTAAGTGTGCTGCCCTCGCTTCTGCCAGCTTAGAACCACCGACCAGACCAGAGAGGAGGTTCCGAAACAGCGCGGCTGTGTGCGGTCACTGGACCAAGGCTGAACGAACCGAGCCGAAACGCAAAGCTGCTGCCAGGGTGGAGAGTAGTTGTCGCTCCGGTTTAAAACGTTCACTTTTCTGTTTCCCCTCGGAAAACTTGTGCGTGACAACTTTGCACTTAGCTGCAACTCTGTTTTTGATGAAAATAGAAAGTTCTGCCGACATTCTTGCTAACTTGTTAGCGCTGCATGTTGTTGTGATCACGTGAGCTCTACATGCTGGATCCAAGCGCTGCTGGATAGAAACACTGGAGCCAAGTTACATAGACAGTATATACAGTATATGGTATATACTGTATATATACACATATACTGTATACACTCTATATGAAGAAGTGGAATGGATTGGATAACGACACACCAAAGAGGATCTCTACCTTACACCATAAATTAAAGGGAAACTGACAGATTTTAGTTAATAATGAAATATTAAATGGTTATTTATTCTGACCACATCATATTGAGTATATGTATATAATAAACCAAAATAACTTAGGGGGTCTTTAAAATAGGCCTAGTGACGCCACTGCAGGACATAATCATTGGATGCACATCTACTGCACAACTGATTAAGTTTAGGAATTAATCCTATTCAAAGTGGCTGCCACAGCTAGTTATTATCGTCCAATAGAAAAGTTGATCTCAGTCAGTTTTATAGGTATTGAGCTAAAATTTGATGTGGTAGTAGCTGAGAGTTATTCACAACGCGTACTTTCAGCAAGACACCTTAGTTTTTTTATTTTTCTTTTATTTTCTTTTTTGTTTTCTTTCCTTTTTTAGCAAGACATCTTGAGATCATGCATGATGTTACTTTTAAGGTTTGACCAAAAGGGTCCTAACTCTGTCATTTCTCAAAATAATGAGATCAGAACCTAAAAATGTCATGAAAGGTGTTTGGAAATATGCATGCATCCCTTCAAGGATTACTCATAAACAGTTGCAACTAAAGTGCACATTTTAGAGCAAAAATAATTTGCAGCTCGTACTTTGCTTTGTTGCACCAGACTGAAACGAAGCTTCATTCTGAGCAGTTATGGTACATTAGAAGACATTTCACTGGAATTGTTATTGCAGTATCAACCACCACACGACTGAAAACACCCCTGAATCTCTATGATTCTGGTCCACAGCTGGTAAAGAGAAAACATGATGAGAGCTCATGCTGCTGCTCATGACAGAACAGTTTATGTGCTGACAGCAAAATATTTCTCCTCAGCTGATGTAACCAGCACCTCTGCCAGCGGGAAGGAGAGAGGTTTCGTACACAGGGAAACTGAGCTTTTAGAATGCGTATTGTATTTTTATTAAATGGAAAATTAAATAAAAAGCAGTTCCTGTCACATTAAGCTGCTGCATTTGCATACTAGTAACACAATGTAACAGATACTGGATAAAATTACAGCCAAGAGGCTCTGCCAGATGTGATGGTGCTCAATTTTTATAAAACTGACCAAGTTGCAGCCTTTTTTGTGCATTTTTAGGGTCGTGGCAGCGATAAAAATGTTTTAATAGCGTTCAGAAAAAATAAATAAAAACATCTGAAGGTTTTCCTAGAGTTCAAATGCATGGTCAATACATCATTAAATCTGTGGCTGTAAATAATAGTACTAAAAAATAATATTTTATGTTCTTTGTGTCAGCAGATAAGATTAATGTTTTTTTTTTTTAAGTTTTATCTCTCTGATGTGAGTCTGGCTGGATATTTGAGTTATTTCCACCAACACCCTTCTTGGTTTGACCATTTAAGCGGAGTCCAACTGGGAGCTGTTCCAACAGTTTCATAACACAAACCCCCTCATCATTCTGAGCTCTGCTCAAAGACATGAACGCTGCAAGGAAGGCAAGATTTAAAATAATGAACAAAAACAGCTTTCAGGTCGACTTGCAACAAACCTACAGGCTGAATCAGGCGAGCCGTTGCTTTATATTCTTGACAACAACATGTTGGACACTTGAACTCCTCGTCTGTGAATGCATGAGAGTTAACTTCATTTCTGCAGGATAGCTGATAAGAAACAACAACCGACTACGGGGTGCCGCTTGTAAAGTTACACAGTCAAAAATTACCACCAATATTTTTGTTTTATTTAGCCTTTTAT